CTTTTTTTTAATGTGATACTGACAAAGTTTTTGAGTATTATACCCGTAGACCCAATTTTCCCATAAATTTTTGTTGCTCAGTTTTGCAGTGTGATTATTTTTTCTAGGAAGGCCTATGACATGTCATGGAAAAAAACTGTACTGAGTGCCAATAAGAGCTTAAACAGGCCAGTCAAGAAACAAGCACCACTCGCAGGGTTGGAGTACTCAGATGTATTATGCCAGCGGGCTCAGAGGGGCTTCTGCTCCGAAGCTCTGAGCACCTCCAAGACGTGCGCATGAGGTTTTATAGGGTAAAGTACAAGCTTGGGGTATTCAGCCAATAGGCATGGAACAGCTTTAGCAGCATTATCATCACAAAAGTGGAGGTGGGGAGGCAGCAAACCAACATTCCAAAGCCAGATATGTATCTTTGAAAATCCAGCTGGCTAGCAAAAAAACATAAACAGCAAACCGACACTAATTAACCTAGATTTACAAGTTAGTCTAGCAGAACTCAGATCAGTATTCCAATACTTAGATTTGTGAGTTATCTTGTTAGCCCAGCCCGGTTTTTCCTTCACAAACTAAGTCCTATGTTCTAGATATTTTATATACGTTAGCTATCTAATTTAACTTAATTCTAAAATGTCTCTATAGGTTAGGTATAATTATTATCCCCATTTTATAATGTAGGCAACAGAGATTTAGAGGGGTTAAATAATTTATTTTCCACCACAGAGCTAATAAGCAGTTGGGATTCAAAACCCAGCCCCCTGAGATTGCAAATCTTGCTTCACACAACATTTGCCAAGTGACAGCCGTGGTCAGAGTACTGTGCTGAGTGCAGCAGACCTTGGAACTGGACAGCCTTGTGGTCAAATCCAGGTTCCACCACCTGCTAGCTGCATATCATTGAATAAGTTACTTAAACTTTGTAAATTTCAGTTTCCTGATCTGAAAAATGGAAGACAATCATAATAAAATAGCTAATATTCTTGAGTACTTACTGTTATCCTCAAAAGAACTCTAGCAGGTAAATAATACCCTTTTTTAACAAATGACAAGATTCAGGTTTAGAAAAGTTAGGAAACTTTGACAAGGTAGCACAGCTGGTAGGAGGCAGAGCTGCGATTTAAGCCTCAGACTTTTCAACTCCAAAAACTAGTCTTCTTAACTACTGTTCTGCACAGCTCCCAATAAAACTTTCCTCCAGGCTCTCTCTGAGGACTGAAAGAGATACTGAATAGAAATTAGTTTGCACTGTGCCCGGTCTATGGTATGCACTTAATGAATGAAGTCTATTATCATTATTATTACTACTACTATGACTGGAACTTAGCCAAGAACAAAAATCATTATAATACAAGACAGAATGTTAGCACTATTTGAGGTATTAAAAAAATATAATATCCAAGGAGTTCAAAGGAGGGAAAGATGATATTTGTAAAAAACATAATACTTTAAGGAGAAGGCAGAATTTGAAAAAAAAAATGTAGGATTGTAGGAGACAGAGCTGGAGGAGTGTAATGCATGTGGAGGGAACAGCAGGGACCCTAGCAAATAGGAATTGTGAGGTCTGTTTGGAGAGCAGACGGCAGCTATTGGCTGCAGCAGATGGTCTGCGTATGGAGCCCTGGGAGGGTAGATGAGAAAAGGAGACCCCTCAGAACCTCCTTGTGGAGGGTCTCACACTGCTGGGAGAGGATTCTTCGCTAAACATGATGTAAAATGGGGAGCTAGTTTGGTTTTTGAGCAGGGAGTTAATATAAACAGGATTGAACACTGAGAAAACAAATCTGGCAAGGGCTGTATCAGAGAGCGACTGAGGGTGTGGGCAGGGCAGAGTTGTCTGAGTCATCAGACGCCGCCCCTGGCAGCTTCCAGGTGAGTGTAGGTTCTCCTAAAGAGCACGTTCCTGGACAACCCATCCGTCTGAGATTCCTTTAGGGCTTGTGTGGTTTGCAGAACAACAAGGCCCTCTGCAGGTACTCTGATGACTAGACTCAGAGGAATTTAGATGAGGTAGGATCTTAAAATTAATCCAGTCAAAGGACTGTGATGGTGGATGGTAAGGCCCATAGGAACCCTGCATGGGTAGCTTAATGGGAAAAGCAGGCTGGGTGTCAAGGGCACACTCTTTCTTACCAAAGCTTTGTAAGAATATAGAGTCAGATCGAAAGCCATAGGAAATATGCCTGTGGACTGGATGTGCCTTATAGGCTGCACGTTTTCAACATACAACTTCCAGTGAGGAGGGGAGTGTGGAGGTCATCTCTAGAGTATCACTTCTCCACTTAACAGACAAGAATAGCATGTACAAAGGGCCCCAGCAAAGTTAAATAATCACACAAGCAGATCAGATCACAGGTCCTTTAAGTGTCCATCCACTGCAGATTTTTTAATGTTGCTTCCAATTTTTGCCCTAAGATGGACCACCACCATTGACTGTTTTTCTCCTAGGTATATGTGGGACTACGGTAGGCTTGAGAGGGATGTGGTGGGAAGGAGGTTGATGAGATTTTCCTGTCGGTGTGAAAACCACTCACTCCTCATCTCATCACCAAACTGAAACAAGTGTGTCCCAGTTAGGATAACATTCATGCCAGAGAACCCTTGTCCACAGGCTGGGATCAAGTGTTCCAAGTGACCAACTTATTCCATAAGTCCTAAGGATAAACCAGGGTTCATTTACAGTCTTAAGTCTCTCCCTGGGCTATACATTGAACTATCAGCAGCGTGAAGCTTGTTCTGGCCCCACCCTAAGGATGGTATGCATATTTTAACAATCTGTAGATGACAGCAGGGAATTTTTGTGGTTGATCCACGATGAAGGTTATTATTTTATATAACTTAAAGAAAAGTCTTTTTTTCATTTGTGTGCAGCTCCCTTGGGTATATCTCTAAGCTCATCAAAAAAACTAAACCCTTATGCTAATATTTTACATAAAATCTTAGGAAGCATTATCATATATAGTTTAGAGGAGGGACTTTGACATCAGATCTACCCAGTTGGGTCTAGACTTTGCCACTTAAAGGCTATGTGATCTTGAAAAAGTGAACTGTCTTCTCTAAGCCTCAATTACACACAGGCATGGATTAATTAAAATAAAGCTAATAATGTTTTTCAAACATTATAAGTGCTCATAAATGGTAGCTATATTGCACTATTACTTCAACTTGGTTTGTGAAGGGACTTAACACTGAATCAATATTTTCATGCAATTTCAAAGATCTAGATATGCCTTTTTTTCCAGAAAGATGAGAATCCTAATTAACATCTTCTTAAAGATCAAAAGCACAGTGAGTTTGATACTCACGGACTGTGGTCTTAACGGAATTTCAATCTAAATGACTTATGCTCCAATATTGTCTGAGACGTAAAAATTACAAAGAAAGGCCATAAAGTATAAAGGTAAGATCTAACTAAGCAGTTCAGTTTTTCTTGTTACCATATAATCACATTTCTAATCTTTATGAGATGCTTCTTTGGAAGTCATGAGTGTTGCCCACAATCTGTAACGTCCGTCATGTTTAGCTTTGGCCGAGGAGCGAATTGTAATGATGGGACACATTTATTCCTGTGGATAGTCTCAAGGAGTGTGGCCTTTGAATTCTTAGGAAATTAACTACTTAGGCTCTTGTACTATGAGCTGTGCATTCAGTGACTTGATAGTTAACAGAGATTTAGAGCTAAATTTGAAAGATATGCTTCTGAATGTGCTACTGAACAGGGCTGTGCCAAAAATTTGGACGAGAAATGTGGACTTACCCAGATTAGCAGTGCCAGACTCTGACAAATTAAATTTCAACACTTCCAGTTCATCTTGGCAGATGCTAGTGTCCTGATGTCATGCGGTTATGATGTAAGCCAGAAAGTGATATTTTGCAATAGAGATTCTGGTAACCCTTCCCTTGAGTGTGGGTTGTAGGATATCAATATTTACATCACACCACAGAGTGCATTACAGTTTGCAAGGCAGAGAACTTATATGGTTGACTCATGGTCTTCGGCAGAGAACTGTCCTTATGTTCAACATCAAAAGCTTAAATTGCTCATGTTTGCCTTGTTATTTCCTTGAGACATTTTTTTCAATTACATGTAATGAATGGAAATCTTGATGTCACCAAAGTGGACAATTCAAAATTAAAGGACTAGACTTATGCCAGGAAACACTAAAAGATGGAATGTGTTATAATTTCATCTACTTCAAACGTTATAAAAACATAATTATACAAAAAAGTCATTTGGGGAAAGAAGGTACAACAGCAAGCAGTTATAATTCCCTTTTTGTAAATTTACTTGCTCAGGCATGATTGAAATTATAGTATTTGCTCCCACCCCCATCATCCTCCAAAATGCTAATGAAGCACTCTTGAATATTGATGACCTAAGACTGTGTTCTCAAGAACTGAAGGGCAGACACAGGAAGGAGACAAAATGGGAAATGAAAGAAATTGATGAACCCCTTGGCCAGTTTGATTTAGTCAGAGATGCCGGTATCAGGTTCTCACATCTTTCCTAAATGACTCACCTCATTTAATGATTCACTGATAGCTGCAAATGTAGTTCTGATGCAAGGGCTTACCTAGTAGGCTTTTTTTAGAGTCTTATTGTATATTGGAAAAAAACCAGAAGATGAAAAAATTTGCAGAAGATCTTATGTTTATGCATTTTCCTGCTTAAGTTCTGCTTACATATATAAATACTGCCATAAGAATGCCAGGGATTCCTTCCCACAAAATTAACTCTGTGAGAGTTATGGGATCACAACATTATTTTGTATAACCGGCCATAAACAGATGGCTTCCCATAAACTGTAATCTAAATTTCCATACAGTCTCACTCCATGGGTTTGATAATGTTAATACTTAATATTTCAAAGGTGAAAAAATTTGCATTTGTTGGTTTTCTATTTTGATTTACTTTTTGGTTTGGCATTCTAGGAATCTGAATTTGTTGTTTAATTTCTATTCAATTGTGTTTACATTTTAGAAATATTTGTAGGTCACCAATATTTATAACTTTTTTAATTGAAGTATAGTCAGTTACAATGTATCAACTTTTTAGGTTATCACCTCTCTAGTCTCTAGTCTCACTTCCTCTTTCTTTTCATCAGTAGGCAGCCCTTAATTAAGCCTTATTTTTTCTTCCTGGACTCTCCCAGCCTTTTAACACCTTTTTGAAGTGCTCAGGAAAAGCCTAGCTTTCTAGGTGCGGTCGCTGCAGTCATTGGGAGAAACCTTCACCTCCCTACTCCTTGGTATGATGTAACCTGGGCATACTTTGTGAGATCATGCAGAAAGTGCTGATGTGCAATCCATCTGCATTAAATTCCTTCTGAAGGAGAAACAAAGCGAGTGAAGTGCCTTCTACTCAAAGGAAAGCGGAATGTAAAGCTTTGCTCAGAAGTGAATGAAAAGACATAACTTCCTGTAAGAGAAAGGCTTGTTATCAGGCTACCGTTGTAAAAATATTCACGTTTGATCCTCTTTTAACCTGTCTTATGATCGAAATTATTTTGCTTATCTACACCACAATAGAAAAAAAAAGTCCATAGTTTTAGAATAGATCTAACAGAGAAATGGTAGATATTATTATTCTTTAATTTCATGTTTTACTTCCTTTAAAAACAAATTCTTAAATTATTATTTCACAAATCAAACACTAAAATAAACACATAAGATGATATCCAATGATGTGTTTTGAGTTAGGGGTGAGGGTGGGGACAGAGATGGGCTGAGAATAGTCCCACTTGCAACACAGGTATGGAAAATTGTCTCTCTTTTCTCACTATCAAATTTTAGAGCCAGAAGGACTTTGTAGAAAATGAAATCAAAGCCCAAAGAAATGAAGGGACCTGCACAAAACTTTTCAAGTTAGGTGGAGGAAATATGATTAAAGAGGAAGAACCTTAATATTCCCAAACTGGTGTTTCTACCAATGTTCCATTGTCTCTCTCTACATGTGAATCTTCTATCAAGTATTCAGAAATGGTAAAGGAAGTTTCCACAAGCTGTTGGCTGCTGAAAAAATTCCTGTGTCCAATTCTTCAGTTTCTATTTCAGAACCAATTGTAGAACTTTATTTATTAGTAGAATTTTAGAATTTCAGTGCAAATAGATAGTCGTCAGGTAATTCCACTAACAGTGGGAGAAAGTGATGAACATAAACATTCGAGGACCAGTGAGTCCGACAGAAAGCTTTATAATCCATGTAAAAACAGAAATGTTTTGCCTACTCAGGGCTCAATATCCATATAGCTTTCAGTCATTAGAAACTTTTTAGCTTATTCCATATTTCACAGTGTTATCACCAGCTGGATATGATTTATGTTTGCCTTGGACATTCAATTTTCTTTTCCTTGGCTAAACTTCAGGCACACGTTTGTTCCCTGGAGGTGCTATAATACTGATTTTGTCCTAATAGTTGACATCACATTCTTTTAGACATCATGAAAGCAGCATATTTGGGATTCAGTCCGTAGAACAGTGGTCCAGAATAATGGTGGCGAGCACAATGAAGAACCCAAGCTTGGCATTGCTGTGACTTGCTGCAAGGTTGATAATTGTTCCCATGAAAATTCACATCTGACATGGTTCGAAGCATAAAACTCAGTCTCTCTGCAGTAAGAGCAATAACCACACAACAGCAGAAAACCCAGAGTAGGTCTCTGGACTTGACTTCTGTCACTGTAGCTTGCTCCCTTGGCTCCCATGGCACCCTCACGATGGCCAAGTCTGAGGACCAACGTTGACATTTACTCTCCCGTTTCATCATGATCCCAACTTCTATTATTTTCAAGTCTAGTCAGCTTGGTAAGTTGTGTTGTTTCACTTGAAGATTTCAGTCTTGGGCCCACTGATTTTTTCAAATGCCTCATGAAAATTTCTTACAGTCTCACAGTGGTCTTCCTCTGGAACAGACCTTAAAAGGTGGTTTCAATTTTAGACACCTAGAACAGAGCATTGGTTTCCGTGTGAATTTGACTGCTGTTTTTATAGCTCATTGAGAATTATATAAACGCTCTGGTGTAGCAGTTGCCCTTGCACCACCTGTATCCCCTTTACCCGCTGGTGGACCACCCCCCAGCAGCTGTGGGTGCTAATAGGCTCACAGCACCATCCTTCCCTAGAAGATTGTTTTGGCCAAACAGAGGACTTCCCCTGAAGATTCCTAGGGGATTCCAGGCCTCTACCCCTTGCCCCACCAGGAGCATCCTAACATCCATGCTTGATGACACTGGGTATTGAAACCAAAATCCCTTACCTTCTTGGGATGGGTCTGCAGAGCCATTCATGTCTTTTCCTGTGGAATCAGCTTGAGGCTAGACTTCAGCTAAAGCCGCATCTTAGCTGACCTCCTTCCTCTGCTCTAGCTTTCCTGCTTCATTACAGATATGTCTCCTTAGACTGCTCCCTTGACCAGTCACTCACATAAGAGGTCCTGTCTTAGGTTCTGCTTCTTAGGGAGCCTGACCTCAGACAGCTGTCTTGTTAGCATTAAAAGGTCTTACCTTTTTGTTTTTTTTCCTTTCTTGGTCTCTTAAGCAATTGAGATAACAGATCTTATATCAATTGGTTCACCATTGATAGATTTTATTCTAAGATGCAATTGTTAAGCAAACAATTTTTTTTTATTTTGTAGCCATGTTTGGTCATTTAAAAGAATGACAAATTAGTTAATAACGTACAGCAAGGGAAATGTATTTATACCTTTTTCTTTAATGTGCCTCATGTTATTTCTTCACTGTTTCCTACTTACATGGAAATTAAGGAAAAATGACCAGTGTGGAAAAGCCAGAAATAATAATTAACAATTAATACATGAGTAATTTATACTTAGTGGCTTAGGCTTATCTTCTTAGGTTTTTAGCAATAGACAATGTCTCCTGAATGTACCCTCATTGGTGTCTGGGGGTAAATGGCCCAAGTTTGTCATGCATTTGCATTCATTTAATACTCATTTCTTGATTTGTTCATTCAACAAATATTTACTGAGTGTTTATAGTGTGCCGGACGTAGTATTTGGCACTGAATTTAATTGTGCACAAAACACATTTAATTTTTACCCTTGTGGGCCAACTGTCCTCCTCATTTATAACTTTGATGTAGGCAGACAGAGTTGAGGATGAAGGGAAATTATAAATTGGAACTACCCTTTGGCAACTGAAGGTAAATTTTTACCTCTTGTCTGGATTTATGAGAAAAGACATCGAAACAAATATGTAGGAACTTGCCAGATTTATAGTCATATTTTCGCTAAAAAAAATTAATACATGTCAATGCCTGGTACATGGTAGGGGCTCAACACATTTGTCCAAGGAACGAGTGCCCAGTGACTTCATACTTTATCTTTTTCATACCTCTTTCTTATGTAGCAGTAAAAAATAACAAGAAAACCACTTAATAATAGTCCAACGCCAATCCCAATTGCAATGTATTTTTCATAAGAATCCACAGCATATGATGTTAAGGTCAAGTGCTCACACCTTTCTCCAGTATAACCAGTAAAACACCTTTAAAAAAAGAAAATAATGTATAATTTTAAAACTCAGGATGACAGAAACACAAATGACCAATTTCAAAGAATGAAAAAAAAATTTAATGAAAAGTAAGTGATTTAAACTAAAGAGGCAGACACCAGTTGAAAGCCAATCTATGAAAGGTACTGAGGAAGCTATGTATTTTATAAAAATCATTTGATTAAAACCCCATAGTAATGCAACTTCTGCCATTGGTAGTAGGGAAAGGTAGTTTGCGTGCTTGAGTTGATCTAGAAAATTGTTAACCTGATCTTTCATAGGAGGATGCTGAGCAAACTGATGATCATAGAGATAATATCTCAGTTGATCCGGAACTTCATATTCCTGAAGTGGTTTTGCCATAGTCTGTTTCATTTCATCCTATAATCAACCCATGAATACTCATAGTCATCTTTGCATGTTGTTAAAATGTAGATTTGGATTCCGTAGTTTCGAGGTGGAGCATGAGTTTCTGCATTTCTAACAGGATCCCAAGTTACACAGATGATACTAATCTAGGAACCATATTTTTGAGTAATAAGGATTAGGTAGGTCAGAAAAAGACTCCTTAGATATTCTAATACAAAGAGGATTGGTGAATCATGTTCAAATTGTGTACCCTTTTTGCTAGATGATACAGAGGTATGTGGAAACACACCATGTGAAATACCATGTGGAAGGAGGCATACATTATCCTCCCATCTCTAGGACTTGGGAAGTGCTCTGCAATTACCTGCAGATGGCTTTCTCCAGCTCGTGGTGGAATGCACAAACACCATTGATGCAGTAACTGTGGTGGTCTTCCAAGCAGTGACGTGAGAACTTCAAGGCAATGGGTCCTTCTGTGTAGTCAGCTAGAAAAGGAGATACAATTTTAACTGATGAGGTGGGTCACACTTTTATAGTAGATTTGTAACACATATGTAAAAAGACGTTTAGTTTTAAGAATATTTGTGAGCCATGTGAACTATTGATTAATTCCTTTGGCGGGTTGGGTTAATATCATCTAGACATATCACTGATTAATTAGGAGGTAGAAGTGGATTGATCATACCATTCTTTAGAAACTAAATAATAAGGTATGGATACAAGTTTGCCAAAAGGTGGCAGCATTGCTTCTAGTCCTAGCATGCTGTCCTGAGCAAGGCTTCCCAAGTGTTGCCTGATGCTAATAAATATAGAAGCTTTTACAGTTTTTTTCTTTCTCCCCTTTACACCCTAGAAGTCAGCACTTAGGAAGGCTTGGATTTATGCTTGTGAGAAAATGAACTTGATTTCTCTACACTCCCCAGAGAAGCATGAGACGAGACCCCCTTTCCCTTTATGGTAACTACCTTAAGTAGTTAATGGTGGAGGGAACATTTTCCCTAACTGATTTCAGAAGAGCTATTGTTACGACCTATCCAGGAAGACAGAAACAACTCATGGCTCAGGCTTAGCACAGCTAAGACAATACCTTTGAATGTTAATTAGAAAATTTACTCAGTTAAGAGGCATTATGAGATCCTGGGAAAAGCCATGCAGTTGAAATTAGAAAATCTGGGTTTTGATTTCTAGTGCTAACACTATGCAAGTCACCACACTTGTCAAAACTTTTGTGGTTAAGTGTCCAGAAGCCTCTTTATGGCCAATTTCCCTTTGGGAAGCTGTACTGTGGCAAAATATATGTATTTCAGGATACTTACTCTTCATTGCTAGATGTACTAAAGACATATACCTATCCTGTCCTTGACATGCAGTGGGAATGACACTTGGGTCAAACTACATGATTGAGTCCTTCGTGGTATACTTTAACTACTGATTCTTAAATTCTTCTCGAGAAGAATTAGTGACATTTTATTTGTCATTGTCATGAATAAACAGATTTCCTCATCCATAGTTATCATGTTACCCCCTACGTGCCTCGCTAAGTAGATTAAGAGAATACTACTCATTTGTTTTTAGGAAAAAAGATCCAAAAAGGCATATTTTTTATATTGAAAATTCTTAATCTTTTAGACACGAAGAACAACAAGATACTGTGTTATATAACTTCATTTTGGCTGAGAACACACATTACCTTAAAAATCACATTCATTTTGTTGACTGTGGTATAGTAAATCTAATTTCTTATCTTAATAATTAATTCTAAGTCAGTGAGAATTCCCATTATAAACTGTGCTAGGTTCTTTCTACCTCAAGATTAAGTAAGTTCAATTAACCAAGCCTGAACCAGGACTTCCTAGAAAATGTGAGAATTGAAAGAAGACATTTCCAAAGAAAGAGTATACTAGAGACTTGTCTTTCCCCTAATGGGAATAATATTAGTTATAACTTCATGAAGAATTTTGTAATATACTGGATTCAGATTTTAAGTTAAATAAAATGCAGGTAAAATCTAAAATCCTCCCATTAAGAAAGCAAAGGAAAACCACTGAGATAATATATTCATAATCCCTTTTTTCCATTATTATTTCCTGTAATTTGGAGAATTTTACTTGCACTTCACTATTGGGGAAGAAAAAAGGTGATGATGGGCACACTGTTACATTACTGAGAGGAAACTGTACTTTAATTTTCTACAGTATCATCTTCCAACAAAGATGCTTTCTCTTTGTTTAAAAGTTCAAAAGACATGAAGGATTTGGCTAAAAGTTATCCTAACACACAAATTTTATTTTGCAGATTGATATATATTCAAAAACTCAAATGAGCAAAATATTTTAAGTAAATTTTTTAAACTTAAAATTATTGGTGCAATGAAGAATAATTAAAATATTGCGATTTTTCATGTTCAGAAACAATATATTTGACTTTATCTTCCTGTATTTGCCTGGCTCTGAGAGCAATATATAGTGTTAAGGTGTTTTCTCTGTCCTAAGTCAAAGGGCCAGTTTTCATATCGGGGGATGGTATGTGATTTGCTTGAGAATCACAACTACCTGATACACAGGTGTTGGCAGGTAACAAGCTTTCCAAGTTCACCTCTAAGAGTTTAAACAGTCTGGAAAAATGCTAATACTCTACAGTGGCCAGAAGATATTCTAATCATAATAATAAAACAGGAAAGAAAATATATCATCACCATCAATAACAAAAATTGGGTACACGTGGTTAGGAAATATAGCACCTACTAAAGCAACAAAAAAAGTTCCCCAAAACAAACAAGAAAGAAGATTTTCCCAAAGATGAAGGAAAGTGGATGAAGGCTTCATCTTGTGGCCATAATTTCTTCAGCTGCAAAGCTCATAATCACAGATCAAAATAAGAAGTCACTCATCAAGAATGCTGAAATGGGGACAGACCGACTGGATGCAATGGGTTATTGGGAACCCAGCAGGAATCAAGCAGAAGGTGTTGCAAGTTTCATGTCCAGGACAGTGACTGAAGACAACTTTGTTTCTCTCGTTTGCTTCACTTCTTTCTTTTCAAAAGGCAGTTCTTTGCTGACACATTTACCTGTCACTTCCATTTAACAGCATCCTAATAAATGATTATCTAATAATAAAATATATATTTAAAAATTTCCAGCGTTGCTTTTACCACAATCCAAACTTCTCTCAAATGTTAAAAAGAAAAAAGTCTCTTGAGATACATAAGTGTGAAGAAAATACCTTCAGTTGTGTTAACTGTCCAGTTACTTTGCTGGGTTGTGGTTGGGGCTGTTACAGTCATGGCTGCCTCTTCAGTCAGGGCTGTCATTGCTGTATGGAGGGGAGGGAAAGGCGTCTTTAGCAGGTGAGCCTCCTTCTACGTACAGGCAGCAGATTGAGAGTTACTCTGTTTATTCCCATGTCTATTCTGTTTTTAATTCATTTACATTTGAAATCCATAACCGGACTGGGGCAATATCCTGACGGTTTCTTATCCATTCCAGTTCTACTGACTACATTATAATTACAGAAGATAGAAGCACATTAATTTTAAGAGAACGTACATTTATAAACTAATCCTATCACAAAGATGCTATTATATCATAGTTAAAATATATCGACTACTCTTCAATTGTATAAAGTAAGCATTTTCAAGATCTCAGAAAAAGAGGTATCAAAATATTTAAGGAGAGGAACATACATTACATAAGAAACTAAACTGATTCCCAGACTCCTTGTTTGGATCTTTGTCCTGAAGAACAACTGCTGAAAAGCCAGCTCCTCACTAATTCGGAGAAAACAAATCCCATTCACACTTTACACTGACAGAGAATTAACGAATCAAAAAGAAATGACCTACCATTGAACAAGAAGCAGACTGTCATTGGAACTCCGAAGGCCATTTCCCACACTTGTTAAGAGTATTTGCTCTTATCCTCCTAGACTGACGGCTGGAAGGTTTTTATTGAGCTCTCTGAGGCTTTTCTGCATTTATATTTCACGAAGCGTCATCTGGCAGGTCTTACCAATCAAAAAAATATGTACTTCTGGCAGCAGCACGAAGCCTCGAGGCGCTCGCGCACTTGCTGAGGATACCTGTGTTATCTAGCACTGTGATCAAGTTTTGTTTTGAAACACTGGTTTCCTGTGACCTGTGGGCATAATCATGTTTGTAAAAGTACTTAAAACCACAAAAAAGAATCAGAATTCAGGAAAGGCCTCCTTGCTGTGAACTTAGAACCGGACCAGCTCCAAAGTTGCTAGTGACCTATGTAGGATTCAAACACGGGGCAGTTTTGGTGTTTCCAAACTAGGACAAAGCTTAACCTGTTAGTGAAAGAAATATCCCTGAAAATGCATTTACTGAAATACTTTTCAGTACTGATGGGGTTCCCCTGCAAATCGAGATTTTTGAAAGTTAGTGGCAGGGGAGAACAATTAAATTTGTGTAAAAATAGAGGTTTAATACTCCATTTGAATTTTTGCTATTTAGTTTTACTATTTTAGGTCTGTAAAAATAATTATTTTTAAGAGTATAACATTTACCTTTATATCATTCTTCTATTAATCTTATTTTAAGAAGATGGAATGGGTTACTAAGTTCCAGGAATTACAGTTCTTAAGAATGTGCCCCCAGTAATTAGGCTGGAGAGAACCAGTAAAGCACTAAGATATTACTACCACCACCACCACCTCTGTTAAGGTGAAGTTAAAATTAAATTAAGGTTTGGTGCATCTAATGAATAGAAAGTTTAAGTTTAATACAAATTCAAGATTTTCTCTTAATCTACTTAAGATTATTAAGGTGCCATTTTTTAAGGCCAAACCATGTAATTATTGCTATTACATTTTGTGACTACAGGAGCATCTATAAATTTTCACTTGCCCCAAATTATTATAAATAATTTATAAATATGTTTTACTGAGAGATTGCTTCTTTCTACCAGGAATGTCAATTGCTCATATTTTCTGTACCTTTAAAACCTGTTTAAGTCAAGATAGGTTGTCATTTGCATCATGTCCACCCAGCAAATTCAATTTACCAGAAAGGAGCCATTTCACTAAGAGATGAATTTGGCTTTAGAAATCACACAAGAATGAGCTTGTCGAACTCATTAAACTTGGGCAATCACTTAACCACAGGAGTCATCCTGTTAAAGTTAAAAGAACTTGGCTCACTTTATATGTGCCTACATTCTGTATTTCCACTTTTGTGGGGTTTTTGAACTGTTTGTTATTAAAACAATTTCTGAATACTATTTTTCCCAGGCAAATATTTGAATTATAAATCAAATAATCATCTTCTGTCCCACTGGTGAGAATTTAAGAAGAAATCATTTAAAGAATTAAATAAACCACAACCAATTGCAGTTGCAGGAGGAAGATGCTAAGACTAATGTTAAATATCTTTATGTCTAAGACTGGGACGTAGCACAACAGCCAGCTTTGTAATAACTGTCAACTGCTGCTTGCACAGTGCTTGGCATTTTGCAGAAGGGTCTCATGCACATCCCAATTCTGTCTTCAGTAGTTCTGGCCCCATCAAATCCAGTGCCTAATATATAGCGTACACTCAATGAATCTGTCTTGCGTGAATAAAGAAGTAAACAATGGGCCTGATTTCTATTCCTATATGGCAAATAAGGAATGAAGACTTAAAAAGAATAAAGTGAACTTGCCAGAGGACACGTCCTCGAGTCAGGACTTGAATTCATGTTCAGATTCTGGATCGTATGCCCTTTCTACTTCCCCAGCTTTGTCCTCTGGTAGGAGTCAGTTTACTGATCTCAGTGGGATTCTCCTAATTATCTCCTAAACTCAAGCTTTCAGTAAATTAAGTCTATTATAAGAATCTAAATGTTAAATGAACTGTGGCCTTTGCATGCATGTAGGCTGAGAGAAGTGGACCCCTGTCTCCCTCGATGTCTCTCCACTCTGGTGCATTGGGTCACATAATGTAGAAACTCGTCTACCACTGGAGTTTGAGGTTCATACCAGAAAATAGCTCTCATCATCCCACGAGCTTCTCTTCCCCTGGACTCATCCTGCTGGATCCAACTTACACTCTGTAGGAGGGTCTCCTGCCTTCCTGTCCTCAGTCCTCTCATCACGGAGTCCTTCCCTAATCCTGTAGAATGGGGGAGGTGGGCATGTGGCTTCACTGATATTTGCATTCGTTCCTAACACTTGTTAAAGTGAGAAAGAAGGCTAAGAGCTGCAGCACTGCACTATCATTTTTTCTGTCTTTAATTTATTCATCTCTCCCTGGTTATAAGCATCTCTGCAAGTATCTTCTCTTCCCTTCTCTCCCCTTAAGTTTATTTTTTCCTTCCTTTCTCCTTCTCCCTCTTCTTCCTTTTCTTTCTTTTACTCTCCCTCCCTCTCTTCCTTTCTTTTTTTTGTCTTTATTTCTTGCTCTTTCACAAACAACCAAAATTTGTTGCTGGACATTGGCCTGAAATGGTCTTCAGCCCATTGCTTCTCTCTCTCTAAACTTACTCTGTAATGCTTGTGGATTCAGTTGCCATCCATTCATTCATAAGATATTGACTACCTATAATATCCATGGCACTAGGCTGGGTGTATTGTTTGCAAGACAAACAGACAAATCATGCGTGGACTCTGACCTCGAGGAATTCGGGGTGTAAGGAAAGTATATATATAAATGTACATATATAAATGCAGTGCTGGGTAGAGAAGAATGACTATCATGAATGTGTGCAAACTGCTATGAGAGCTTGAGGGTGGGACTCAGTCAAACTCTCACATCATTTTTCATGGATAACTTTCATTGAAGTGAATCTGAAATAGTGAGTAGAATTTAGAAATCCAGTGGTAAGAGAAAGGATTCCAGGTGGGGGTGGGCCAGGCACTGAGGGGAGGCAGAGTGATATAGTGAAAAGAGAGTGGGTTCTGGCTCCCATCATCCTAAAAGACTTTTTTTTGAATTCTAGTTTGACCTTTATTCTCCATTTGACCTTGACTGAAACTTTTTAATAATTATGTGTCGATTTCCTCACGTATCAAATGAGGATTGTTAATAACAGCAACAACAACAAAAAGAACTCATTTAGACCATGATAGGTGCTCAGTTAAGGACAGCTATTATTAATGGACAAGTGTAAAAAGACACAGGGTGTGTACAATGGGCAGCAAACAGGTCAGGAATTTACTGGTTAATACATGCTGATGAGTCTTAATTTTCATCACTAGCCATGAATTCTTATTCTGATCTCAGACTGACATTACATCAGGACTTTAATCTATGAATTATGTCATCACCTCAAACTCAACATGTCTTAAACTGAACATATTATCTCTTCTCCAAAATCAGCTCCTCTTTACAACTTCCTCCTGTTAATCAGTGATAACATCCTCAAGGCTGTAACTGCAGCTCTCATCACTGACTAAATGTAGTCTAAATTCTGATTTATCCAGGATTTCTCTAACATGTTTCTGTTATTATTCTATTATCCAGCTGTATTTCCACCACTCTCCAACACTTTTCATTTTAGTATGAATGTAACCCTTGCTTTTATATATAAAAATACACACATATATGCGGAACTCTTTCTCACCTCCATATCCTCATATTATTCAATCCCCATTAATTCTTCAGGGTCCTTTTTACACATACTTGTAGAAGAAGGGTACTTACTTCTTCAAAGCTCCTCAACCAGGCAATGGTATGTCTATGTTTTATGGACCCCCCCCAAGTATGTATAAATGAAGTCGTGGTACCGATGAACCAACTTTATTTCCTTTATATGTTGGCAAAGGCTTCCTTCTTGGCCAGGCTTTACTTAGGCTCTTTTGAGTCCCTTTCTCAACTAGGCATGGACTTAGCCTGCCTGCAGAGCCCAGTTTTAGCAAAGAAGTTTGCTCAGTTAGTTTATGGAGAATCCCCCTGGCTCTGTCATATCTGATCAAGTTCCTCATCTCCTACCCTTGATAGCTGGCCTAACCTTATCAAGAATCGTGGTAAGCTAGTTTCACAAGAATCCCTCTACCTTTGACATCTAATCAAATTCCTCTTAGTTTTCCATACATTGATTACCTCACTCTGCTCATTGGCTATAAATCCATAGCTGTCTTGGCTGTATTCAGAGTTGAGTTCAGTCTCTCCTACTGTGATAGTTTTGACCCCATTGCAATAGTCTCAAAGTCTTCCTTACATTTTTAACAAACGTTAGAATAATTTTTCTCTTACATTGTTTTAATTAGTCTCTGGAAAGGCTCACTCCTGAATTTTAGCCTCGCCAAAGGGGCAAAAAAACTAAAAAAAACTCCTCCTGCATTTTGGGGTGGGGGGAGGGGGAAGCTCAAAATCATGACTTCGCCTTTTCCTTGTACATTTATTTTGGGTTGGTATGTTTGTTTTGGGAATTTGGGGCACTTAAAAATTAAAGAGGGCCTTTCTGAAATGTTTGCTTGAGAGCTTTGGATTTAAACTTCTATCAGGGTTACTAGGCAAAGATTTGTGTGGAATGGGCTATAGAACCTTTTCTTTCATGTTTGAGAAATGTGCATTTCCCCAGCATGCTGTGAAGAAATAGATAACAACCACATGAAAAAAGAAACTTATAGATAGATAGCTTAAGGAAAAAGAAGACAGGTATTCCTCTCCAAATTACCTTTATTATACAGTTGAAATATTAATTATAAACATCTAGTCTATTTTCACAAGAATGATCAAGAAAACACACTAATAAGGACATGCATTGGGTACGAATCATTATTGGCACATAAACACACTAGGATTTGGGCATGAAAACAATACAATTATGTGCCCAGGGTAGTCTCAAAATAGCCTTCAACTGACAGTCATATGTATTTTCTAATCTAAATTGTGTTAGAAACATGGCATCTACTTTGAAAACCAAATGCCATAAGAGAAGAGGGAAGAACTGTGGGCAACAAAGCAGTAGATTTTCAGTCACATCCTAAGGTTTAGTTTTGGCACACTGGAAGTGCATGTTTTCCTATTAAATTTCTAGATTTGTGAACAAACATAACATCTATTCTTGAATGAAGTTCACGCTCATACTTAGCATATTTTTCTGATATTTGTTGGAAAATACAACCTTCATTTTGTTTTGTGTATTGGCTTATGTTTGGATTTTCCATTATTCCTCAAGGAAGGTGTTGTCCATATATTTTTCTAGAAGAACAAGGAAACTACATGTAAACCTAACATATTCTTATTACATTTCTACAATGGCAAGTAGTCATTCACAATTTGACATGCCTAATACTTCCCCAAATAACACTGCATTTTTTGCCTTCCCTGAATATTTTCTTTCCTTGAAGGGAGCATCATTTCTCGTTAAGATGCCTCAACTGATGCATTTGGGAGAAATGTGAGATCAAAATTTTATTTTTAATATTTTATCTTTCTTTTAGCAAGTAAGCTCTTTTTTAGCATACAGTATAGAACATAACATATATAAAAACTGAGCACGATTACAGCAAAACCTAAATCACATTTTACAAGGGTGCCTATTTAGCTGACAAAACGTTTGTTAAAAACATACTATGTGAGATATTTGTGCCAAAAATATATGCACTTATCGTGAGCCCTTTATTATTTTAATATTATGAACAAATGTTATTCACAAAGTAAACAACTGTTACTAAAGTTTTCATTGTCATTGCTTTGTTTTTTTCCTAAAATTAAAACCCACTCCAAATATTCAGTGAATATTAGGAGGAAATGCATTAAGTTGTATGAATCATCTGATCCACAATGATTCCATCCATGAAAAAAATAAATACAATGTAGAAATAGCTTTGTAGTAAAATATAAAGGTTTTTTCCTTTTGTCAAGTAAATAAACAGCATGGCTTCAGTTTGCTTTGTGCTGTCATGTGACCTAGTAAATGATTTTTTTTGCTGCCAGAAGAGTGTTCTTGAGAAGCATCGCCACCGTCATGGGTCCCACGCCTCCGGGAACTGGCGTGATAAAGCTAGCCTTCTTCTGAACAGCTGGTGGAGGAAACAGAAAGTATTCTTTATTTTTTTATTTTTTCTAAGAATTTCATATTTTCAAACGCACTTAAATGTTAAAAGATAAACTGAGGGCATTAAAAAAAAGTAAAGTGTTTATTTGAGCAAAAATGGATTCAAACGGGGTGGCGCCAACCCTGAAGTAGTTGTTAAGGCTTCCACCATCGGGTGCACAGGGAGTGACTTGCAGAGAAAAGGTGGAAGCAAAGCAAGCAGATTGTTGATTGGTTATAGCTTAAAGCCTAGTTGGCTGTTTGTGATTGGTTGTCCTTAGGTTTCTATTTTATAACCTTGAGGCATTTACAGGCTAAGATTTTGGTTTGCTCATGTAGGCAGCTGCGGCATTAGACCCACCTCAGTCTAATGGCCTCCTTGTTTAATTAACAGAATATAGAATGTTTTTCTGCACTACACATAGAACCCTAACAACCTCACATCATTTTTAGAATGAAGCAGACTATAACACACACACACACACACACACACACCTCTGTGTATGATATCCAGTGTGTATAGAAAGAACACAATAAGGCCAACACTGTAGAATGAATCTCCATGTAGCTCAGTCTTACATGATGAAAATCTATAACCCATGATTGATCCAACTATGTGTAATCCCAGCTAGCTACTTCTAAAATACATAATACTGATCACAGAGTGGAGACAGGATAAAGACAGTTCCGTTACATTAGAATGTTCCTGTTATAACAGCAGCATCATGTATATATGTGGATAATGCATTCCAGTCCTAGTCTAATAAGAATCACTAAACATATTAAAATTATCTGAAACACAAAACATGCACAGTCCTCTTGTAAGGTATGAATGAAGACTTCTTTAGTCAATATACTTAAAGAAAATGGCAGAGAATTTTCAGCAAGTTATATTTAAGAATGTTCTTACACCCACAATATTACAGGTGAATGACTCCAGGCACTGACCTACTTACTGGCTTAGTGCTTCACCGTGTGAATAAGAACAATGAAGTTTTTCCAGATAACTCTTTTCGTACAAAGTTAGCATAGACAATACTTCTTTCACGCATACTCTGACCTTATTAATCACATGCTATTTAGATGTATTGCCTTTTACAAGTTTGCTCATATATACATTAATATATAAAATCACATATTTGTAAAGCACTGACTTTGAAATATTAATTCATGAATAAAACCAGTAGATGTTTTCTAGAGCTTAAGTATTATTTTTAATTAGCGTATTTAATAATTGCCTTTATTATGTGTCAGGCGTTCTGTTGCCTCTTTAAGTCACAGTGGCACCTAACCCAGATGTTAGTATCCTCATTTTACTAATGAGTTACTCTTTTTGTGTGTTGTTGTTAGTGGAGATACTGAGGATTGAACCCAGGATCTCATGCATGCTAAGCATGCTCTCTACCACTGAGCTATACCCTGCCCACTTAAGTATTATTTTTGTACAATTTATATTGCCTTCTTGAACCACAGTTTGTAAAATTTACATTTACTTTAAGTGTAGTAGTATACTGCAATGATTTTTTAAATCATAGGAAAATATTATTTTACCTGAAGAAAAGTCTAAATAAGCTTGAAGTCATCATCAAAAAAAGTCCTGCTAGTGTGTATCACGAATCTTCTCATGGTGCACAACAAAGAAAAGAACACTGTGATTTGGAAGATAATATTTTTGAAATATTAAGCATGTCCTTTCCCTGCCGTTCTTCTATTCAGTGCACTCTGTGCTGAAGAAACACTAGACTAGGTCAACAGCCATTTCATAAATAGCTAGCTATGAATTATCAGTCCTTCCTTTGCTCTCGCTATTCCTTCCACCTGGATACGCTGCTTCCCGAATACGCTGCTACGTTCTCCAAATAAGAAACTCCTTACTATTCTTCAAAAGCCAATAAAATGTTACCTGTCCATAAATTTTCTCGAAACTTTACCCTTCCAACACTGAATTAAAAGCTCCACCATCTATTTCCAGTCACTCTACACCAGACTCTATTATGGAATTTACCACACTGTGCTGTCTGTGCCTTTAACTAGACACCAGCACCTAAAAGGCAGAAACTCTTTGTGGTGGTGGTTGTCATTTTTTAATCTTAGAACTGCTCTGTGCTCTGAGGCATTCAGTAAATTTTGATAAAGCAAATTAACTAGCCCTTGATATTTAAAATCTAAAGTCAATTTGCAGGAATGTGCCAGTGCTTTTGACTGGACACAAACAACATCAAAACAATTTAGTTAAAGTTAATTTACTGAAAAATTCAAGCTACATTTTTTGCTTGAGGGTGACAAACTGCATTTTTCACTTTCTAATAAGCTGACCTGATGGCATGAGCAATGCCTTCTAGGTAGGACCTTTTCTGTAAGATTAGAGAAGTAATGCCTTTAAAAATTTCAGCAGGTCTCTGGAAGAAATGTAGTACACTACTATTACTTAGATTGATGGTATATAAAATCATAAACTTGTAAAGCACTAACTTTGAAATGTTAATAAAGATAGAATACTACTGAATAGTATAGTAAATTATGAATCAAGTATGAACTAAATCTTCCTTGGAAAACAAAATGGCTTATTTCACAATCAAAAGGTGGATTAAATTGGGAATCATTTTTTATATAATTTGGTTTTCAATTTTGAAGAGGGAAGTGGTTTGGAATTATGTACATATGGAAAAATAATAATAACTGCAGCTACTATTAATTGAATACTCACTACTTGCCAAGAACTTTATGCACATGACTTTAATAATTAATACTTAATTATTATTTCATTTTAATAGGTGAGGAAAATATGGCTCACTGAAGTTAAAATGACCTACCACTCTCCTATATTGTAGAGACATTCACAGCCAGGTTTGAATCATTCTATAATTCCACCCCCATCCCGATACAACTATATTACCATAACTTGAACAAATAGAAAAGTCCCAAGAAAGGCTCAGTGCCAAAAATTAACTCAGTTTTCTCAAAAGTTTAGGGAGATATTTTGGAAAAACAAAGAGGGAGAAGTTCTAATATAGTAATTTTCTGACAATTGTACTATGAGTACTCATGGCTCATCATCTTTGAATTATATCCAGCACTTCAAATTACAGCTGACTTAGTAGTCTGAGTTACTTTCTTCCTGGGTGAGGTTCAGATCAGATAAACCATGGGTCTGCTCGGGTATTATAACCTTCTTCTTCCAAATTATGTTTTTCACAGCATGCATACTACTATATTCTTTTGCTCAAAAAGTGAAGTTTGGGGTGGAGGAATAGGGAATGAGAATGAGCTGTTGCATGAAATAACACCTGCCTGAAATTTGTAGCTCTGTGTCTTGCATTTTTGCACACTTTACTGCCGCAAAGTAACACACATTTATCTTGTCTATCACTTAGACTAGAATTAGACTGTGTGATGGGTAATAGGTCTTCACTTGACCTAGGCTAGGACTTCTCTAGATATTCATAAGCATTTAGTTGCATCAACAGAGCCCTGTAAATTACTCATTAGCAGAAGTTGATGACCTCACTGTGAACACACCTGGTTATGCAAACACTTGTTTCAAGCATTTTTATCTTTGGAATAAAGTGGACAGTTGTGAAAATGAAGTTTGTACATAGTGTTGACAGGTTGATTTTGATTTTGATTTTTGACAGTTGAATTTGATTTAAAAAAATGTAAGAACTCTATTCCTTTTGGTTTGATTTTCATGAGAATCTATGCCTGGGAAAGTTTATCTGCTGCTGGCTAGTGTTAATGTATTCTTTGTCTATTTACATAAGGACCAGGATACGGAAGTAAGTGCTTTCTCAAGAAAGATGAGGAATTATTATTGGCAAGGGCTGATGGGTACAGATACCAATGCTTAAAAGAAATTCTCTAGTCTAATGATTTTGCATAACTATTTCAGGGCTGTCCTAAGCAATGTGTTTATGAAGTACCAGAGGTGGCTTATGAGCTAAAATTAGTCATGTGAGAAAGAGTTAAATTCAATACATGTTTGATGCTCTTTAAGTCATCTTCCCGAATCCTGTCTGCAAGAGAGTAATAAGTTAACAAGCATTATATCACCAGAATAACTTTTCATTGGCTGGTCTGAGGGCAGACAAGGGTTAGCACTTGCTTATAGAAGATAATGCTATTAAAGATTAATCCTATTATGTGTGGGAAAAAGGTGTTCTATATGCTCCACTGAAAATAATTACAGAAGAATTTTAAGGCAGCAATTTCACTCAGAAACTTATATCCTATGAGAGAGTGTGGGTGTGTGTTTCAAGGAAAATACCAAAAATTCTGTATGTATGAGAATCAGGTATTGTATCTTGATTGATACTTGTGCTTTCATGAATAGCTTTCACGAAACCAGAGTTAAATTCAATTTCATAAAGTCAACATGATTTCAGAGTTACTGAAACCATAATGGAGGCAAATAAAACAATCATAAAATCCTATTATCATCTGCATGGAACTTACCTTAGGGAATGAGATTTATATGGAAATGATTTGGTGATGTTTAAAGCAGTTTCTGAAAATAAGAATATTTTGAGGAAAAGCAACAATGATTATGACAATATATTTGAATGACTCTCTGTAGACTTTAGGCCCTGCAAAGTAAATTCTATAGATTTCCTTAAAAATAATAATGCTCTACCAGCATAATTTAGACTGTGAGAGAGTGTATGTTCAGTTTTATAGAAAGAAAAGATATTACCATTTAAAGTCAGTCATTTTAGACACATGATTTGCCTTTGTACTTACTATTCTCTGTTTGACATACAAATACTTGAATCATAGTTACTCATTCCCCATTGGTCAAAGCAAGTCATGTGATCAAGCTCAAATTTAAAGGCTTGGAATAGGAAGAATGGCAAAGTCACATTGCCAAGAGGACAGAAGATATGTGTAGTCATTTTTGATAATCCACTGTAACGGTCTCTTGGTTTTCAGTCTCCACCTTATTAGCCATACAATCTGCTGCCAGATTTATTCTTCAAAGCATGTATTAGA